CTACGAATTTGGACAGCCTTCGGCGCGTCGCTGTGACGTAATCGGTCTACAAATGCGGCCTCAGGAGGAAGCAGCCCATGAATTTGGACACGACCATTGTGTTTGTTGCCTCTTTCCCACGTGGCAATGTGTTTCCTTGTCCTGTTCTGTGTAGTCCTCGGGCTTAAATCCTTGTCCAGCATATATATTTTCCCTTTATCAGCATTAGAAACAGTTTGTTGAGTTCAGCTTGTTGCTGCTTTATGGTTTAAGTAAGTTATCCTGAGTCCAGTTCTGAACCTACTATAATTTAATATGTTATATATACAGACATCTGACTAGTTGTGTTTAGAAGTCTTGAAGCTTTTTGGAAAACTGGACCTTAAATAGCTGTGAGAATAACATCAATGTAATCTGACACCTACTTGCGCACACTATAGCACATACACAGGAAAAACTACAACACACACACACACACAGCTGTAGGGACCATGGCCATCGTCCCAGCTAACAATAACATTGCATTTGGATGAATTAACCATTAAAGTGTCATATCAATCATTCAGTAATACATAAAAATGTCACAATTCTCTCTTGAAAAAAGCACACATGAATAGATAAAACAACCTATTTTTGGCAGCACTCCTCAGAAGAAATACTTGCTAAACTGCCTGAATGAAACACCACCCCTTTCACCTTACCCTGTGACACATCAAACACATCACATTATCTCTTTCTTCCACACACTCAGACAAATTATATACACCAGAGTCTGGATGGTGTTTAGATGGTGTCGAGCAACAACGATTCTTCTGTGTTATTTTGCCACGGTGCGATCCATCAGAGAAGTTCTGGAAGATTTATATTGTTGTATGCCATAACCTTTTCCTCCATTCCCCGAAGAAGATGTTAACCCTTAATGATTCAGCCCTGCTCACATCCATCTGCCTTAGATTTGTGTAAAGTCTGTGGGCAAATATATGACTGACTTTTGTTTTCTGCAGAACATAAATATATATTGTTTTCTGTGCAGAGAAACATCCCTACAAAAAAGTAGAAACAACCAATTACTAGGTTAGTTAATGGTACTCAACAGACCAGTTAGTGTTGTGAAAAAGGACTCTGTAACGTGGGTGAATTTTACTTTCTCCTCAAACTTTTCACAATAATTATTTATTGAGAAAAAGGCACAATTAATGGTTACATTTCTTTAAAGTTTTACATTTTTCTTTTTCTGTGTTTACCACCTTAGCAATTAAAAAATGTTTTTAATTATTTTCAGGATTCGGAATAACACTGAGCAGTTTACTGATGGGGACGAGGAATGCAGCTACGCTATAACAACAACCCACTTGGGACGGAAACAACAACAACACCTCAACTCAAACAAATTAGTTCTAGAAGTAAGACTCGACAAAATGTGCAGAATAATTTCAGATTAGGCTTCAAACTTTCCTTTTTGCTAAAGCATATAGTTAGGGCTGGACCAGGTCACCCTGAATCCTCCCTTAGTTATGCTGCAATAGACGTAGGCTCCCGGGGATTCCCATGATGCATTGAGTTTTTCCTTTCCAGTCACCTTTCTCACTCACTATGTATTAATAGACCTCTCTGCATTAAATCATATCTGTTATTAATCTCTGTCTCTCTTCCACAGCATGTCTTTTATCCTGTCTTCCTTCTCTCACCCCAACCAATCACAGCAGATGGCCCCGCCCCTCCCTGAGCCTGGTTCTTCCGGAGGTTTCTTCCTGTTAAAAGGGAGTTTTTCCTTCCCACTGTCACCAATGTGCTTGCTCATAGGGGGTCATATGATTGTTGGGTTTTTCTCTGTATCTATGAAGCGCCTTGAGGCGACTTTTGTTGTGATTTGGCGCTATATAAATAAAATTGAATTGAACTTCTTTAAAGATTTACTCATTTTTGTACCACAGAGAGGTTTTAAAAACCTTTTCCTCTGCAACTTGGACTTTTATCACCAGCTTTGCTGTAGCACAATTATACTTATAGTAGTGTTATATTATAACTATTTGGGGGATAAACATTTGCAACTTGCATTTCCTGGTGAGTGTCACTGACCAGTCTGCTCGACTGCCATCGACCTCCAGCAACTCACCAACTGGTTGGGGAATAGACACCTTTCCCTCATTAACAGTGTTGGGACTGTGCCATTGCTGAACACATATGGATACACTGGAAGAATATCAGCTATTTAATTTGTATTATGACCAAATAAAATGTAATCACAGTCTATTTAACTGTGACAGAACCACCAACTTTGCACAAATCTGCACGACATCAATATGCTGCTCTTTCACTCAGACCATGTATGGTTTCTTTATCTCAGAGTAATAAATCACCCTGAAAGAGCAAACACTGTTTTACTGCTATTTCACTTTTGGGATGGCAGGAAAAAGCAGCAGCTTTACAGAAATGAGAAAAAAATGACATTTAAATATTTAGTCATTAGTGTGCCGCAATTCAGAAAATCTCACTACTGCAGTTCAATTCAAGAAGAGCGAAGCCATTAATTTAGTGTTATAAAATGAAATATAGGTCCATTATTCAGTACAAACAAAACCTATCAGCTAAATATTTCCATCCATCAAATCATCAAAGCATATTTTACAGTTGTTACTCATAGAAATGAGGTCGTAAAACGTGACAATTTAGAAATACACGGAGGGAGAGCAGAAAGTAACAGACTGTAACCGTCGGGCATCTGTCCACATCTGGAGGATCAGTCTCTGAGAGTCTGCGCTGAGTAGGTTTGTTAGAAATGCCAACGCCGACCCGATGATTACTGAGCTATCGGTATCGATTTGATCTAAGGGTCACTCAAAAAATATTCTTGTTGTCCTTGCAGAATGTTGTGCTTCGGTCTCTCCCGAGCAGACGTACCCCACAGCCTGAGTTTGAATCCAAAGTAACTACTATAAGCCTGGCTGGGAAGTGCTACTTAGGAGCTCATATTACAAAGATATAAAATCATTTCAGATTTTCATTTCTTAACACCTGGGGCCAGACCCATAAAATAATATAAATTCACGTCTAAAATCCTCTGCAGGCACAAAGGCAGAAATGTGTCCATGCACTATTTTCTATGTTATCTTCTAAAGCCGTGTCCTCTTAATGACAATCAAGTATATTTTGCCATTTATGTTGTATTTTTTCATCCATCAAAAAGACGACATAATTAATTTACTGTAGTACAATCCCTTCACTTTTGTTTTGAAGCTTCAGTTGCTGGTAACCAGCTACACTGTATGACCAAACGTCCTGAGCCACCTGCACATTACACCTACAGGCGCTGTAGGCTATGGAGGCCCATACCATCAAGTTCCCAGAGCTCTTTAAAACAGCCCGTTCTTTCACAATTGTTTGTAAAGGCAGACGGCGTGGCGAGGTGATTAAGATTAGGAGGTGGGGCTCTGGTCCTTCTCATCTAGTGTTTTTACTGGTGTATGGTCGCCACATTGGTTGTATATGGTTCCAAATTGTGATGTCGCCTAGGGCTGCCATGATTAGTCGACTAGTCGCGATTACGTCGACTATCAAAATCGTCGACGACTGATTTAATAGTCGACGCGTCGTTTGAGAGCTTTGTAAGATCCCAAAAGACGCAGGAATAAGTAGTAGGATTTAAGAGTGTAATAACGGACTGAAACAGAAGATGGCAGCACTGCATGTACAAGGATGCCACCTGCCGTTAAAACCCCGAAGAAGAAGAAGCTGTGTCCCAGAATTCATAGCGCAGCCCAGCTCAGTTTCCAACAATGGTGGCAGCTAGTTAATTTTAATATTACTCTTATTATTCTTTCTGGGTCACAAAATAAAGTTTTAACATATTTTCAGGTGAGAATGTAGCTGTGTAAACCTCAAATATCTGCTCAGTTTATCAAGACACCAAATATTTTCAAAAGCGCTCCGACGTTTTCGGAGACGTCTGTTACCCACTAGCTCGATAGCTAGCCGGGGGCTAGGCTCACTAGCGCCGTGAGAACACCGGACTCCCGGCAAATCGTTTTCAAACCCACCGCCGTCTTTCGCTACTCAGGTTAAACATGATATATAAGTCACTTAGATAACTTAAAAATGTTGTTGTTTGGCTTTTTTTTAGTATTTTATTTGTTCCTGAGTAAATCGGTTTGGCTGAGATTAAAGTTATAGTTTTTACATAGCTGAATAAACATCAAGCAGACAGCTGATTATCAGAAGTGTGAGATGCTCGAGAATATACTCCGGTGTCCTGTTATATTTTAGATAGCAAGGAGTTTATTAAACTTCACCGAAACAATCTGCAAATTTCATTAAAATTTAATAAACTATCATCTTGTCTTTATTTTTAGTTAGCACAGACCTTAAACACTTAAAGCTGTAAGCTAATGATAGTTATATAAGAGCAGATGCTGCTGGTGCAATAAGCTGTACGTTTTACGTCCAATGGATGATGATCTGATTAGTCAACTAATCGCAAAAATAATCGGTGACTAGTCGACTATCAAAATAATCGTTTGTGGCAGCCCTAATGTCGCCACAGCCTTGTCAACATTTATACACTGGTGTCTTCTTCTGAATGATATCGTGTTGCTACTAAGAAAACCTGCACATCAGCACTGTTGTAGGAGTAGAAGAAGTCGATGGAGGGCACAAATAAAAGCTGATTTTTTTTTTCCCAAAGATTTCTCTGGAAAATTGAATCTTTTCAAGCTCAGAGCTGGTGCAGTTAAACTGAGAAAGCACGGGTAAACTTATTTCTTCCTCTGTGCACACATGCTCTAGTTTCACAAATGTCAGTTTGTGTAGAAAAAAAGCATGCATGTTTTTATATACGTACATATTCAGCCCCTGGTGTCTGGAGACATTTTTTTCTGCACATAAAAAAGCTACAAATCCAAAATCTCTGTGACTGACAGACACCGAGAGACAGTATTATTAGATTAATGCTGTAACCACCTACCCTGGAAGCTCTTGTTGATGCCAGAAGGGAAAGTGTTTCCCAGCATCACCACAGTGGGGTCAATGATGATTTCTCGGCTCCGTCCCTGCAGTCCTGAAACCTCACGCTGTCCTCCGCCACCGTCCATTCGTAGTGTCATCTCATTGTCATGGCGATCTAAGAAGACCTCGTGCCACTCACCGTTGTCGAGTCGATAAGTGGGCAGTGTTAGGTTGTAGTCCCCGTCCCCAAGGTTGTAGAAAACACATAGAAGGCCCTGAAAGATCTGCAATGGGAAAACAGGACGATTAATAGAAGCCTTACAAATCCAGCAGGAGACTGAAAAACGAAGGACGCCATTACTGTTTCCACAGGACGTAAGAGAGGAAGTAGCAACCATCTAACAACCAAAGCTTGGTGGAAACTGGTTCACGCAACAAGCCAGTGATCTCACGCAGACCAGCAAACGGACAACAGAATCAAGGTGTTGCAGTTAAAGTCAGTACCTCAATGTGACTGAAATTCAGAGCTATGCCTAGAAACCTAAACTAAAGCAACACTGTGAAGGAGAGTGGGCCAAAATTTCTTCACAACAATATGAGAGACTGACAAAGCCGCACAAAGAATAACACTTCAAATGATTGCTTTTAAAGGTGGTTCAACAAGTTGGTCAATCATGTGGTGTACATAGTTTTTCACAGGGCTGCATATAACTGAAAAGTACTTGAATATTCATGAATTCAGCGTTTAAAGGTACAGTCAATCATTTTTTGAGATTACTTAATAGAAAAGAGAATACTTCATTCATAAATCTGCACTAATTGGTGTAAAATGACACTAATTCCAATAAATCTACACAGGAGCAGGCTCTGGTTTGTGGAAGCCAGCATGCTGATTTGCCATCTTGAACAAAAAAAAACGATGAGATGAGTTCCTTTCACCAAAGAAGCAAACACGTGAAGGAAAGACACAGCGCCACCAGCATGTGGATAAAATGTTATCCTCTTCCTGCTCAGCTCAAGCCTCGTCTCCTGATCTGAACTGTTTCCACAAAAGTGTAGCTGCCAGTTGATTCACAACCATGAGAAAGCTAGAACATGTCAACATTTACCCCGAGAATTCAGAACTGATCACTATTAACTGTTTCATCGATTACTGGAATTCGTCCAGGCTCTGAAGCAGCAAATCACACCCAGACAATCACACGACCATCACCATGTTTGACTCTTCGTATCATGTTCTTTTTATTGAATGAGGTTTTATGTCAAATGTAACTGTCAGAAAAGTTCAAATTTGTCTCATCTGTCCACAGAATCAGTCTTGGGGATTATAAAGATGATTTCTGGCAAATGAAACAAGTCCTTCTTTTCGGTCAGCAGCAGTTTTTGCCTTGGAACTCTCTGATTTTTAAGCAAACAGGATTATATTTTGTACTACATATTCATTTTGGGTTTTCTTGTTCTTCTCAAAGGTAAGTTTTTAGTGCATTAAAATTGGACTAACATGACAGATTTTTACTTTGATTACATAGGAGTACTGTAGGAGTAGGAAATGGATAGTAGCCAGTGGTTTGTAAATAACTGGACATGAATAACTTGAGCTTCATACATAACATTATACTCCAGTATGTTTCTAACTAATTCTCCTTCTCATGACACTTTGTTTAAGGACATGACACATATTGAGGTCAACTTGAAAGGAACGCAGATGTGAAGTGCAAACGTGACATGATATGTGGATGTAAACTATAATTTTCATATTTAGAATCCCTATATAAGAGCATATTGTCCTAAATGTTGCCAATAAAACAGACGATGTAGCATTTTAAGTATAATGTTGGATTAAAAACATTGTATCAACGTTTGGACTTATTTGACCTTAAAGAAGATGTCAGAGATCAAAGTAATGTGATATTTAGAATCCCCAGATATCATTCCCTGCTTATATGCTGTCAATACAAACAATCACAGTAAGAAACAGAACTTTGATAAATAGATCTGTCTACCATTATCACCACTTTGGCCTTTTTACACTTTTTGTCAATTTTTGAGCAAAAAAAAATTGACCTTGAAGAGCACGGTGGGATATTAGCAAAATTTTAAGGGATTATCAGTCAACCTCCCTGCAAAACGATTCCTCTGAAAACAGTTTTCTTGCAAAGCTACGCTGATGTTTGTCGATCTTCGAGCACCTTTCAAGTGTACCTTTCAGTGCTTAGTGGGCATAAACTAAATGACATGGAGCCTCTTTGTTTTGGGGCATTGGCAAGTCTGAGCAGCATGGATTTCAATATCCCAGTAAACAAATTGAAACTGAGGCCAAGAAACCAAAATTTAATGGCTTTTTTCCTCATGGGAGGTCATGAAATTCAGCCCGGTTTTTGTGTACTCTTGCAGACAAAGAAACAAAGAGATCTTTCCTTGGCAGAGGAACTCTCTTAATGGCAGGATGCCATTAGAGGGAAAATATGCTGCGCTGACCTGAGTTCACATTTCAGGTTTTAAAGCTAATGGATCAAAAGAAAGAAAAGATTCCACAAGGATGTTAAAAGATTGGATCAATAGGACAATTTGGCCAGTAGGCCAATAAGCCAGATCGATTCCATGGGGGTTAGACGTGGGGAAAATAAATAATTCCCAAAACAGAAATTTCCCGACACAGTTTAATGACTGTATGACCAGAACGTGCATTCAGGTAAACCTTTCTCATATCAAGCAATCGGATTCTACCACAAGAACGCCTCTGGCCAGTTTCACTCCCTAAACAGCGAGAACATGTGTCTTACCATTTAATTACAAACACCCTGGGAAAAAGGTAATTGTCATTTCTGCTTTCGCTCTGGGCCTAGAATAAATATTAAATGAGAGAACATTGAAAGCTGGCATTTAAACTTGCAATTTGTTGATTTGTTGCACAGACACACACAGGCACACACACACAGTTGTCCAGTACGATCTTGTGAGGAATGGGAAAGACAAAAGGAGAAAGCGACTTCATGGATGAGAGGAGAATAAGGGAGAACATCAGCACTTTCCTCCGTGTTTACACAACAAGCTGTTCTCTTCAAGGCTCAGATCTCGAGATGAAGATTTCGGCTCGGCTGTGATGCTAACCACACGTCTATCACAGAGCAATATTCATTTGAACAAAAAAGAAAATCAGTCCAGGAAGCTGTGCGTCTGCATGTGTGCGTGTATGAAACTCAGAAGGAGAAGAAACCCAGGATAGAACATGTCCATATGCAGTGTTAAGAGGGATTGGGCGGTGGGTGGGTCGTCCTCATTTCAATTTCAAACTGTTTCCTCCGAGTGTCCCACTGAGCATAATTTTCTCCCCTCCATCTTTGTCTGCCACTGCTGCCACATAAACAGAGGACTGAGATGAAAAGGGCAGAGGAACTGAGACAAAGAAAGTGAGATGTGAAGGAGAAGTGGGTGGCTACCATTAACTCTCTCACTCATTCTCGACAAATAAAGATTTAACAAGTGTTTTTGGGGAGGAAAACAGCCATCGCTTGCCAGCTCCCTTTGTAGCCGTCTACTGATCTCGCAGTCGTCTTTCTTTTTCCTCCTTTTCCCTCTCTCACGTCAGTCCTCCCTCCTCTACCCATCTTTGGATTTTCCATCAATCCCACGGTCGTTTCTTCAGTTGGATAAAGTGTTGGATGGCTCCAAGGTTGTTTAGTTGGAGGACCGTGGCTCATTTCAAGGCTCTGTGATGAAGTATTAATTATATTCAGAATCCACTGGGGCAGAGCTTTCTAACCAGACACACTCGCTGCCACCTGATTTTACCCCCAATTAAAGCTGAACCGAGTGGTGCAATTTGGCTCCTGCTCCGCTCCCTGGGTGGTATGTGACTGAGTGCATTTGATAGTGTGTCTTTGTGTTTTTGCACTAGGTGTGTGTGAAGGTGTGCGACTCCATTTTTCAGTAAACAGTCCCACTGCAGGGACCCTTCCATTCCCCACAGACGCTTCCTGCGACAGACTGCTCTCAGCGCCGCAGCCTTTAGTATTGCAGACATGTGCAGATGATGCATTAATCTCCCCAGTTCTCATGATTAAATAATGGTGTGTGAAGGTAGATTGTGTGCATATATGACTAGTGAAGGCATTTTTTCTTCAACTTTATTTATACTGGGGAATAGAAGGAAATTTCATGCTCAATACCAGCTTCCACTTTGCATTCGTACAATCGTTATTGCCCTTCTGCACCCATATCTGCTCGTCTGCAGAGACCTAATCTGCAGTCAGATGCTTTCGGGACTACACATCAACTTTGCCATTAACAATAAAAACTGTTGGGCAAATGGCATCGTTTTGCATTTTTACCAGCTTAAAGGCAGATCACTTAAATTTATGTTCAATACTCTCTACGAACACCACAAGCTCCAGTTTGGTGTCAATTTTAGGAAAAAAATCTACATGATCTTCCCTAAACGAGGTCATTTTAAACAGAAGTGCATATTCTATTCTTTATAACGCGATCAATCACAAATTCTTCATATGTGAAAGTGACTGGCTGTGCGACTGATGAGTTTAGTTCGGGATGTCATTCTGTCTGTCATCCTGCGGTCAAGGTAATCTGCCTTGTAAAAATAAATGAGCCAAACAGCGTGAACTTAATGAAGCATTAAAACTGCAAAGCATCTTCTTGCCCAGCAAGATTTTAATGTCTTATTTAATCAGTCATCAAGCCATCAAGCAGTAAGGAATAGCCTGTCATTTAGAAATAAACTGCAAGTTGATGCAAATTTGATATCATGCAGCATGCGCTGTGTAGAAAAAGCAGCTTTTGGTTTTGACAACAAGGACATGACCTTTGATTGTCATTTATGAGCTCCTTCTTTCCTTAATCTGAAAGGAACAACTAGGGATGTCATACAAACATCAATGATCTCATGCTGGTTCTGTCTTCCCATGTCGTAATACCTGCCCTTTACCCCCTTTCGGTTCTGCTACCACCCCACTTGAGAGCTCAATATGTTAATAATAGACCTGTCAATGAGACGGGCTGATCCTATAAAGTTTCGTGCAGCAACTCAGTGTGTGAATATAAACAGAGACAAAGCAGGATGATTGGATGACAGAGTGACTGCTCGAGTGCTGCAGCTTTCTGCAGCCACACTACTAACTAACCGAGCTTTGTGGTAAAATACAAAGTCTGATGAATATCTATGAAAACGTTTTTATTAAGAGCAACTACATGTGTAATTATATGATGAATAACAGTGGCTGAGCACCGGCTATTGTGATGGTATGCTAATCAGCCACGTTGAGCTGTT